CTCGGCAATGGTAAGTCCCCCTCCCCACGCCGCGCCTGCGGCCTCCGCGCGCCGATCTCGCCGCCTGTCCGCAGATCGGCGCTCGCTCGCTCTCCCCCTCCTAGTCCAATTTTCCTCTGCACGCGGGGTGGATACGTGCGTGGGTCCTCGATCTCGCCGCTGGTAGGCAAGTGCTTGACGGGATGCCCGGATCGGACGAACCCGAGGCCTCCCCTTGCTTTACCTCTTTTTCTGCGTCGCCAGCGGTCGGATCGTGGGAAACCCATCTGCTCTCCTCGCGAATCTCTTGGGTGAAACGCGTGTTTTGGTCGGTAGCACGAGATTTGGCTGGGGAGGGGTTGACTGGCCGCTCGGATCCCTAGTTTTAGGAACTTGTAATCGGTAGATCCAGGCTATACTCAGCTGATCTGTGTTGTCAACATGCATCTGCCTGTTAGCTAGCAACCCTTGCCGACCATGCCGTGCATCTGTGGGTAGCGCTGGCGCCGAGCCACCAAAGTATGATTTACAACCTATTGAGCGCCAGTTTTGTCTCCAAGAGATCGCTAATCCATGTTCCAGGCTAGTTGGTGGAGAAGGATAGAGAGAGATCTGGTAGTGTGTGTTAAGTTGATGGATAAGTCTGATTTAGGTGGTTGCAATTGAAAACTGTCTGCCATGCCGTGCAGAAGATTAACAAAATTTAGGATACGTAGCTCCTGATTTCAACTTTTGTTGGACTGTGACACCTTGATCCTTTTGCCATTTCATTTCCTGGTTCATGACATTGTAGTAAAATTTGGCTTCGAGCACCAATGGGGTAGTGCTCTCTTCCACTTATGTAGTAAAAGATATATAAGACTATCCGCAAAGGGGTTCCTTGAGTTGTATGTTTACTAAAGAGTCTATGATGTTGTTCAAGCAGAATTGAGGTTGCATTATCTGTGTAACTATGATATCCATCGTAACTTTGTTTATGCGCCCAGGCAAACGCTTCGTCAGGAGCTGGGATCCATGATGACTGCAAGCTGAGGTTCGTGGAGCTCAAGTCCAAGAGGATGCACCGCTTCATAACCTACAGGCTGGAGAACCAGAAGGAGGTCATTGTGGACCAAACTGGGGAGCGCGAGGCCACCTATGAGGACTTCACCAAGACCCTGCCTGAGAACGACTGCCGATTCGCAGTGTTTGACTTCGACTTCACCACCCCGGAGGATGTGCCAAAGAGCAGGATCTTCTATATCTTCTGGTATGTTCTTTTCTGATCCTTGCATTTCCCCTGCGTGGCTAGTTCACATGAACCAAAGGCTGACTGATTGCTTACGGGGATGTGTTGTGCCTGAATTCGAAAGGTCTCCTGACACCGCAAAGGTGAGGAGCAAGATGACGTACGCGAGCACCAACGAGAAGTTCAAGAGGACCCTGGACGGCATCCAGATTGAGATGCAGGCCACTGACCCGAGCGAAATCAGCCTGGACGTGATCAAGGAGCGCGCGCACTAAGGCAAATCATCCCAATGCCTCGCAATATGGATTTATGTCAACTATAGATTTGGCGGTGTGACTCTTGAAACTTTCTTGATGATTTGTGGCTTTGTTACCGTGTCGAAAGGCCCTCCTCCCGTGGTCCGTGAGACCACGGAGGGCTTGCTCTATCATGTAATCTGTTCTTTTTCCTCTGCCCATTTATATGCCGGGCCTTATGCTGCTGCACTGCACTGTTCTTCCAAGTTACGGTTATAAATAATCAAATGTTCTGTTTGGATTCGTCACAAGGCTGGTGTGTAATTCAGCATGGCAGTCTATCTGCATATCTGTTGGATATGATCTCTACCGTGTCTTTTTGTCGGGTGAAATTTCTGTTATGTGTGTTAGCTCTCTTGCTGTGCTGTGCTCTACCAACCGCACCAACATCTTTTGACTGCTAAACAGTTGAAATGTGTACTACTATATAAATAGGATATGATGCTGATGGCGACCATGATGCCGAGAGAAAGCAATGGACATGAGGCAAAGCATTCAGCATTTGTACGCTACATTACTTTAGTGCTTTGCTTGTGGCCTGTGAATGCAAACCCTTGTTCGGGTCCAATCATTTATCAGACCACCAGACAACAAGAATTTCTTTCCCCATATTCCAAAAATTCACACTTGAAATCATGAAGCTGCGTAGATCAATTTTCACACCATAAGGAGTATAAGATTTTTAGTACGGCAGTTGCCGACAGCCCAAAACACAGGAAATGAACTGTATTTCGATGGAAATTGTTCTGCTCGTTACCTACAAATCGAGTACATCTACAAGGAACTTTCCTCTGGAATCCCTCGTTCCAACTGCAGGAACAAAATGAGCCCCATGTGCTCGGTATCATCTCAAAGGCTGCCAAATTTTCTTGTTCCTGATGTAAAATATGTATGAAGAAACAGCAAAGAAAGCCATCACCGCCGAGGACAGTCAACATCTGCAACCCCCACGAGTAACACGGCACGCATCCAACAAACCTCCGAAACTTTCAACTCAGCAGAGCACGAGGCAGGCAGACCGAGGCAACGAAACCAGCTCCTCAGATAAACTCGAAAGCGTGTCACATTGATATAATCTGGTCTAACCATGGCAGTTCATATAAACGACTCTTTCTCGGCCTAGTTCAGCAGAGTTACAAAGCTACACCATAAACACTCATTCCACAACAACCAACACCCAGGGAGCAAGAAGAGCGTGCACCGACCAAGCGAAAAACGGTTTCGGCGTCGTACGCCAAAGCTATCTAAAACATGAACCAACCAACGAACGGAACAAGGGCGGGGTGCTTCAGGCGCCGGGGCCACCCCCTGAATCCATCAGAACCGGCGGACTCCGCGGTCGAAGACCCTGGCCGAGGGGCACTCGTATGACATGTGGCCCCTGCCGCCGCAGGTGTCGCAGATGACAGTGGCCATGCAGTTGCGGCTGATGTGGCCTGGCTGGCCGCACATGCGGCACGATATGTCGCGGAAGGGCCCACCATGGATCTCCGAGGCCAGGGTCGTCGTCTTCGGGCAGGCGCGGGCCAGGTGGCCCGACACGTTGCAGAGGTTGCAGATGGGGTCATTCTTGCACTCGCGGGCTATGTGGCCGGGCTGGCGGCAGTTGTTGCAGGCGCGGTCGTTGGTGCAGTCGACCGCGATGTGTCCCGGCTTAAAGCAGTTGTTGCATAGCTTGGCGTTGGACCCTGAGGCGGGGCAGTCGCGCGCCATATGCCCCGTCTTGCTGCAAGTGTGGCACAAGGCCTCGTTCTTGCATTCAGTGGCAATGTGCCCAGACTTCTTGCAGTTCCAGCAAACTGTTTTGGAAGTGCATTCTGCTGCAAAGTGCCTGACAAAAGATATATTTAAACAAGAGTTATGGCCCAACTTTTTAGAAATTAGCCAAAAGAGACAAGCAATAATAAAGAGAACTGCATACTGATCCCCACAAAGTTGAAAAAAGTACAGGTGTACAAGTACAGTAAGAGAGTGCTGAAAGTTCACTTTACCCTGGAAGATTACAATTATTGCAGGTAGAAGCAGATGGGCAATCCCTAGCAATGTGGCCAGGTCTCCTGCAGTTCTTGCAAATAATATCCCTGGAAAATCATTCAAGTTAAACATGGCCATTTTTCCATCAAAGGACGACAGATATATTATGATGATGACAAAAGTATAATATTTCCACAACTCACTAACAAAGAGCATATCAAGATAAATATTTTCCCTATTCCACTGGAACCCAGTGATCTGTGTGCATGTACAGTGGTTGATAAGGCAGTCTTCTCTTAAACGCGCCACGTAAGCTAGAGATGACAAATAAAATATAATGGACAATGGGTGATTTCTTAGTCTTATCTCTAATAACTAGATATACCTAAATATGTGCGGAGAGATATCGTTGCTTAAGAGATCATCTCTTAATTAAGAGAACGCAAGCCTTTTTTTTTAAACGCGGTCTTTTATGGCCCGATTCATTAAAAAAGGTAGAAGATAGTTGCCTAGTTAATTAACGGAAACCCGGGCGAAAACCGTTACAACTTACAACACGTCCCCAATTGGGCACCATCAACACACACACCGACCCCGGGGCCACACAACAGACGAGCCGCCGGCTCCGTTACCCAAGTAACTCCCTACAACCAAAACCAAAGCCACCGCTCCGGCATCCACACCGACCCCGAGGTCGTGCACCAGGCGAGCCGACTGCTCTGCCACCCAAGCAACCAAAGCCGACAACCTACAACCATCTCCGGAGTCGCCGCTCCTGCGTACAGATGAAAATCACACATGCCGACCCTGAGGCCGCACACCAGCTTCGTCACCCGAGCAACCAGAGCCGACACCCAACAACCAGATCCAGAGCTGCCACTCCGATTTCCACGCCAACCCCGAGGCCGCGCACCAGGCTGACCAACGACACTGCCACCCACGTGACCAATGCCGACACCCCTCCACGATGACGAGATCCGGAGTTGCCGCTCCGACTTCCACGCCGGCCCCAAGGCCACGCACCACCCGAGCCGATGGCTGCCCAGGCCAAGATCACTCCAGAACGATGCCTCCAAGAAGGAACGCGACACTAGAGCACTGTCATCGTCCGCTCCAGGAACCTGGAACTGGGGTTTCCCCCAGAGTGCGAGAGAAGAGGTTGTAGGTCCTCGAACAACGACGCCTCCAAGAAGGTGCGCCCACAGGCATGGCCATCGTCGGCTCCGGCCAAGGCAAGGGCAAGGCTTTCACCCCGAGAAGCCAACAGAAGCCCTCCCCTCAAAACGGCACACAGGAGCCACCGCCCGCCTGAACAACCACCCGCCTCCAGAGCCCAGAGTCACCGATGAGAACAGCCCTGTCGCCGCCACCCGCACCATGCAGAGCCGCCGACTAGGCTACCACATCACCACTGCAAGAGTCAGAACTAGCCACGAGTAGTCAGATCCGACGCCCCGCACAACAGCTACAGCCAACCCACCAGCCAGCACCAAGTGTCCCTCGTGCAACTGAGGGCCGACGCACTGCCGCAAAGTACTAACGCCCCCGAGCTCCGGCCATGGCGCTGCCCACGCAGCCACCACGGCCGCCGTCGCCAAAGAAGAGGTCCGGGGCCGCCGCCCCGGCGTCCGAGCACCACCCGCCATCACGGCCTCATATCCGCCCCGCTGCAGCAGCAGCACATCCCCGCACGCTCGCCCCCGCGTGCGTCGGTCCTTGTTCGCGACCCCATGAGGTAGATCCGCGACGCCGGCCTCAAGAGCGCCAGCACCGCACCTCCAGCGCAGCCACCCACGAGCAAACACACCCGCCCGCCTTCGAGGGCCTTAGCCCGCACCTCCCGCCGCAGCCACTGCACCGCTAGAGGGGGCGTTGTTGAGCGGCAGAAGCAGCCCGCCCACTCAGCCACCCGCCGGATCCACGTAGCTAGAGCCACCAGGGGCCGGATCTAGGCCGCGGGAGCAGCCGTTGACTCGCAGCACCTGTGCCCCCATCCACCACCTGCGCACGTGGGGAAAGCCACTGGCCGACAGGGGGCTTTGCCCGCTGGCGTGCACCGGCGACGCCGAGAGGGAGGGAGGGGATGGGTGGTGGTGGTGGCACCGGCGCTGGGTTCCGCCCGTGCCGCTCCTAGGAGCGACGCGGGGGCGAGAAGGTGGAACCGCAAGCTTTTTTGGGGTTTCTCTCTCCTCCACATCAGCACTTATCCTACAGGGCACTCCAAAGATAGCACCATTGTACACGCCCTTCAGGCTTTTTGCTCTTTGATGTGCTTTTTCAGTGGATTGCGGAGTACTAGCACTAACATACACCTTAGTAAATCTATAAAGTAGTGTGCTACAAGTTATAGATGGGGGGAGGGGGGTCCACACCATACAACATAATGCAGTGAGGGTGGTTATGGTACTACCTCCGTCCTAGTTTATTGGTCCCTTTCGTATTTAGTGTAAAATTTTGACCATAGATTTAACTAACAAAATATCAATGCATGTCACAGAAAATGATATCATTTGAAACTATGTTCAAATACGAATCCAACAATATAATTTTTGCTGACATGCATTAACATTTTGTTAGTAAAATATATGGTCAAAATTTGACACAAAATACAAAGGGGACTGATAAACCAGGACGGAGGTAGTATTATAGAAACAACACAGACCTGTAATGGCGTCATACTGTAAGAACATGGAAACATCACATTCAATTCATACTTCCTGATACCAAGTTCCAGTTGTTTCTCAGATCAATACCAGAGCAATATTATTGAAAAATATTGGATTCATTAATAATAATGTGTTTCTTATGAGTTAGCCAACTCCACTTAGTCCCGCCTATTCAAATCCTACCATATCTAGCAAATTTGTTCCTAAGTCCATCAAGAGAGCCTTTGATACCCATCTAACAGCTTTCCCAGAATCCAGGCTAGAAACTTGAGAGATACTCAAAAGGTACGTGTTAGCCTTGACGGAGGAAGAGATAAGTGACGTCGGCAAGTAAATCAC